CCTGCTCAGCAGGGAGTCTGCTTCTCCCTCTGACCCTCCCCCTTCTCATGTGCTCTCTCTCATTCTCTCTCTCTCAAATAAATAAATAGAATCTTTAAAAAAAAAAAAAGATACTAAAGGTGTACAGTTCTGTAAAAACATGGCTAAATTCAGAACCAAGTAATCTGACCATTTCAAAAATACTTGTGGAAAAGCAGTTAAAGTGTGCTTGTCAAGTTAACCTGGAGGATGATAGGGATTGAGCAAATATATTTGCTGTAAGATTACTTAAAATTCAATCTTCCTTGGATTTAATTCCATGTACAACTTAAAGTATGCAAAAACACTCACTATACATAAAAAAGTATTGGGCTCCCAGCTCAGAGGAGAGTCTGCCTCTCTCTCTACCCCTCCCCACCCTCCCTGCTTATGCTTTCTCTCTAATAAATAAAACCTTAAAAAAAAAGAAAAGAAGGCAAGAATAGCAATGCATCATAAGATAATGAACTATTAACAAAGCAATCACCCAGTTACAAACGCACGATGCTTGCTTTGAGGCATTCTGTCTAGCTGGAGGGGAAGCAATGGTTTCTTCTGGGCACCTCCAAGCAGCACCGATGAGCTCACTGCAGGGAAGTCTTCAGAGCAAACTTCCTTCCCCTTCCGGGCCAGGTGTAACTCTGGCGGGTGTGACACAGCACTTCGCTAAGTCGTCCCAAAGGTACACCTGAGATTCAGAGCTACTTTCTGTAGCTTCTGTCTCCACTTCACCAAGGTCTATAGGATCAATTTCTTGCAAATCACACCCTTCTTCAGCTGGAAGATCCCCCGAAGGCTGCTCAGCGGACTTCCTACGTCTCATGCGTGTGCGCAGTCTTGGGATGGGCCAGGTTGTCGAAGGTGCCGCAGAACTTCTTTGCTACACAGATCATAGACAATGGTATTCTTTCCACAGCTGATCTGTTTTTGTCTTTGCATCCAGACATGTTCATCGATTCCTAATTCTGTTAGTGCTGTGGATAGATGTACGCTCCTTTGAATCCCAACCTCCAGATGATGATTTTCTCCTTTCAAAGTTACTTATGAGAAGTTTTCTTTTATATCTTGCAATATCATTCATCTTCAATTATACTTCTGCAGTCTCAACATCTAGAATAGGGCTTAGGATTTCAGGAGTAGCAAAGTTCTCAAGTCTGTTATCTGTATTCCTATGCTCCTTTTTTTTTTTTAAAGATTGTATTTATTTGAGAGAGAGAGAGAGAGAGAGCGCACACAGGCAGGCAGGGGAAAGGGGCAGCAGGAGAGGGAGAGAATCCTCAAGTAGACTCCCCGCTGAGTGCGGAGCCTAACACGGGGCTCTTTACTTTCTTCCAAGGGGCCATCTTGCCAGAGAATGTCAGCTCTGGCATGGAGGTGCTCAGGCTGCCACAGCCCCACTTAGATGCTGACTGATCCATTTCTGATTTTTCTTTGTACCTGCCACTGTCTTATATAAAACAGGTACCAGGGAGATGTTTGGGAAGAAAACAGATTGGTCAAGGCTATGAGATCCTACTTCAATAGACTGGCTCTGATTCCAATTAATTATGACTTTAGGCAACTTCAGATTTCTCTAACCAGCCCCTTCTTTAGCCCCCGGTTTTTTCCTGGGGCCTGGAGGAAAGTGCAATCTTTACGAACATCACATGCAAAGGACCAAAAATCAGATTTCTTTACAAGAAGATATTGGTAGAGCTCTGAAAGAAACAGGTAATATGCACAGTGGGGGCTAGGCTGGGTCAGGGCATTGCTATTCATATACATATACACAGTGGGGTAGGAACAACAGAGATTCGGCCTAAGAGAGAATAAGCACAAACATTAGCAACAGAATACAACATCCCAGAGAAAGCCACTTACACTCGAAGTGAAAAGAAAATTCAGGATTGTTGGGATAAAGGGCCTTAAAATGAAAAGACTGATGTACACAATGCTGGGGGAGAGGTGGGGTATAGTTTCACACCTTTAAGCTCAGCACATATTCCAAACTAAGAGAGAGTAAAGCTAAAAGAAGACGGCTTGATGAAAAACTTAAAATACACCATACCTAGAGAAGATGAACCAGGCAAGACTGTCCACAGAAACAAGTGTGTAGGACAACCGACCAATGGCTGGACTGGGATGGAAGAGGGATAATAAAAAAAGACTTTCTATCTTAAGCCCTCTTAAAAGAATTATAGCTTTTAGATTAGATTTACTTGGATTAATAAGAGCCAAAGATTTTTTCTTTACTTATACATATATATGCACATAAATACATGCACCCCACACAAAAAGTTATTTAGGAATTACTGGAAATTGAAAACTGAGGACGTGTTAACATTAAAAGAAAGCCTATGGGTACACAATCTAGAGGGAAAAGACAATGGACATCAAAGAGCAGAACAAAGGGAGAGAATGGAAAACAGCAAACGCACCATTTATAAAGTTTCTGTCAGTAAGAAAACTTCTAACACATCTCAGATTTCCATCAAAACCAATTACAATAAAAACCATTTGTTGCTTAAAAGTCGGTTATTCCATCAACCTCATTCGGCGGCACTACCAGGTAAACTAGGCATCTCGGTCATGACTTGTCCACATCAACGTATCCCTAACAACAACAACATCAAACCTAAACTCCACATGTAACTTTTCCCTGAGTGCAGCTTCTGGAGCAGGGTTGTGCTCAGGGAACCCAGTGACGTTCACCATGAACACAGCCGGCCTCATGCTGCCCCAGGTGATGGTACCGTCTGTGAACAGACTGCAAGCAGTGAGCAGAACTGCTGATCACCAGGTATTTGTAAACAGCAAGGAGCCACCTTCTTGCCCAGGCCTCTGGCCACTTGTCTGCCTCCTGTGGACTCGTCCACAGACACTAGCTGCCCATGTCATTCTTCACAGAACTGACGGGTATAGATTCTAATGGGAGCCCAGAACCAGGCCCACCTCTCACATAAGAAAGATCTTTGCTCAAATTACAATGAACTTCAAGTAAGGTCGACAGTTAAAATTAAGCACACGACTCAATTTAATCACCTGGGAAGATCCACAGACTGACGGCTCAAGCTAAAGAAGGAAGAGGGCAAGAACCCCCATGGGAACTGGAGCTGGTGGTGGCACAGCGGCCAGGAGCTGTCCTACCACCCAGCAGTCACCGTGGTGTGTGTGCTGCGAACACGGGGAAGCGGTAAGGACTCCCGCTCTGCGCAAGAGGAAGAGGAGACCCAGCAGTGACTGACGGGTCCAAGGCCCCCGAGTAGGTGCCTGCGCCAGGACTCCAACCCCGGCGCACCCTAGCTCCACTGACAGTACTCGGTGCCCCACGCCGTGCCCCCCTCTCCAGAGCCGGCAGCCATCAAGACGATGATACCTGCGCTGGCCTGCGCAGGCTCGCAGGCAACGGATCAATTCAGAGTGGAAGATTAAAGCGCCTGGAAATAAGCATCAAAAATGCATCGCCAATTCTTGGCAACTCTCGTAACTAAGCAATCACCAAAATATTTAATAACTCGTCAAAGATGCTTTTTCATCACACATAAGAACTTAACTCCCTAAGAGGAAAGAAACAGAACTCTGAGACTTCTTTTTTTTAAGTAACAAGTGCATTTGTTTCCAAAACAAACATCTCAGACACCACACAGTATGGGAAAAATAATTCCCCATGTGGTGGGAACCTTCCCCACTACACACACGCACACCCAGTGCGCTAAGTACCCAACGGCTCTGCACAGTGCAGAGTGCAGCCTGGGAAATGCATCTGCTCTCGACACCGACATACTCCAAGGAGTTCCTTCCCGACGATGAGCAACATTTTCCTCTCCGCCAGCCAGCAAGCTTAACACTCTAACACATGGCTTTGAGGGATATTTATATTAAAACCTTTGCCCAAAAAGAGCAAAGCCATGGCTGCAACAGGACCATATTTGAAGTAACAACATTCCACCAGCTAAGAGCAACTCGTGAATTTTAATAGGATATATATACAAATAATGACAGTACAGTAACGATAGTAAATATAAGAATGATGGTATCATTGCACAATAATAGCATAAAAATAGAGCATAATAATGATGGTCGCATGATTGGAAGGGTGAATACACAGGATTCAGATGTGCGGAAATCAGTACATTCTGTCTTTGTTGTCCGCATGTAAACAAAGTGGCCTTGGCCAAGCACTTCAATTGGGTCATCTACAAAATGAAGACTTTGGCAGTTGTGAAAGCTGTCACTGCATGCTGGAACTCTACCTCTAGACAGCTTCTCACTCTGTCAGATAGGACTACTGTGAAGTAGCGGCAAGCAGGATCTATCTGGGACTTAAGAATTAATAAGGCCATGGGAAACATAAAACAAAAAAGGCTAGTATTTTTTTCCCTTGAAAAGTTAATTAAGATTAAAATGTTTTGATCTTACTTCTATCACTTCCATATTCTTCCCACTATGAATAACATACTCAAAATGTAGCTACAATCTCAAATAACCTTCCTAGAACAAAATGAAACTTCATCACTCTGCCACGACAGAAGTCTAACCTATACAAGTGAAAACTCTGAATCCAAGAATTTTTTTAAATGTGCATGGTTTCGATCCTTTCCCTCTTTCATAATCCCCGATACAAGTAAAGTCCTCCTGGCACAAGTCCTCGAGAAAGTGACGCATGTCAACGGCCTACAAGTCCAAGGTCCTTCTGGAGGTGCCCTCTCCTTGGTCCTTCCTCTGGGGGCACTGCTGACCCCGCAAGAGCCTAAGAAACATGGTACAGCCACTGGCTCCTCCTCCCACCGATCACAGATCCTACATCATGTGCAGACTGAAGCAGCTTTTCACAACGTGTGCAACAAGGTCAGAGAATCTTCAAAAATTACCCAGATTAAAGTAAAATTGCTCGCAGAGAGAAATACAAAGTAGACTGCTTCTCCCTACCTCTTTGGATTCCTTTGTGTAACAAGCTCCAGCCATTCTTGTCGACCATGTCCACGTCAGCCTTGTGGCTAACCAGCGTGGTGGCAATACTCTCCAGTCGTCGTGACAGGGCTAGATCTAAGGCTAGGTCTCCGTTATGATCCACTTCATTCAGCTTCCCAGGGAGCTGCACAGATAAATTTGTAAATTAATAACCAGCCAGTAGAGAATACAACTGATTTTAATCTCTCTCCCAGGTGGACTCTTACATATCATCTTTTTATATAAATACCAAATCTTAGTGCTATAACACTACATACTCTCCAAATCCCAATGAATTCACAAACTTCTCTCGGGCCTCCTCAAGGCACATGCCTCCCAGGGAACAAAGAATTAATGGGATCACAGAGCAGACACAGACACCATGGAAGACAATACAGGACCAAGAGGGAAATGCAGACAGTGTTGTAGGAGCACAAAGGCCAGGGCTGAGGGTCAGAGCCTGATGGGAACAGGCTAACTTCTTCATAAAAGACTGTGGCTTAATATCTAATTTCCCGCACAGCACGATGTCTCCCGGATGCTGGAAGCCCAGGATAACGCACACTATGCTCCCATCTGCCAAGAGCAACTGCATTTCTTCATAGGGCAGTGAAGTCAGCAGAGCAACAGCCCCTAAAGATGTCTATGTCCTAGTCCCGGGAAACTGTGCCACCATCCCCGACAAAAGGGACTTTGCAGATGTCATTAGGTTAAGGACCTTGAGGGAACGCATCCTGCATTATCCTGGAGGGACCCACCTAATCAAATGTGTCCTTAGGAGGGAAAGAGGGAAGCAGAAGAGCAGGTCAGAAATATGTGACCCGAGCACTTGATGCACCGTCCCTGGCTCAGAAGGAGGAGGAATGTAGGGGCCTCCAGAGGCCAAGAAGAGCTCCCAGTCGAGAACCAGCAAGGAAACGGGGACGCTGGTCCTCTAACCACAAGGAAGTAAATTCTGCCAATACCCCAAACGATCAGGAAATGGATTCTCTCCTACAGTCTCCAAAGAGGAAGAAAGTCTGCCAACACCTGAACTACAGATGGGTGAGGCCTGCACTAGACTTCCAACGACAACACTGTAAGATAAAACATTTGTGTTGTTTTTAGCCACTAGGTTTGTGGCAATTTCTCACAACAGCAAAAGAAAACTAAAGCAGGTTTTGGTACCTGGAAGTCAGGTACTGCTCCAACACGACCTACACACGTGCAAGTGGCTTTGGAAATGGGCAGAGGCTGGAAGGGTTTTCAGGAGCGTAAGAGGAAAAGCTCAGACTGCCCTGAACGAACCACGCGCAGACACGTGTACATCAGAGACCGTGCTGGTGATGGCTCAGAGGGAGTGGGGGGCATTTTAGAAAAAACAAGCAATGTATGCTTTTGGGAAAAAGCAGCAACAGTACCTGTGAGTCCATCTCAATGAGATAGAGGAAGACCACATCCTCTCGCTCTACTTTGATCGCCTTGTGTAACGGGTACTCGGTCTTGGATTTGATCATTTTGTACAACAGCTGGGCACTCATGCTACTGAAGTCTTCCTTCCGCAGGTCGTCCTGAGGACCGAAGGACAGTGAAAAGCAGAGCAGACGCAACACACCAACGGTAACAACAACAGACGCTCACGAAGAAGCCCTCAGAATGTGTCTGGCCCTACTTTAAAGGGCTTGGCATTCCCCATCTCTAGTTCACACATGAAGAAGGTCAAGTACGAAGGGGCTCAGTAACTCTTGCTCAGGTTCACACAGGGAGTAAAAGGCCGAGCCAGGAACCAGAGCCGGAACCGTCCACCACAGCCCCACTGTGGGACAGCGACACTGTCACCCACCCAGGACACCGCAAGGAGCCCTCCAGGGGGGTGGGGAAAATAGGGTCCTCACCCCCTACAAAGATGGCAGCTGCGGAGTTCATCGGAATTTCCAGGGGTGAGTCCCCTCCCCCAGTCACAGGTGGTCTCCACTACTGCAGATCTCTGTATTTCTATCTTAGCAGAAAGAATGCCACTCCTATTTCAATTCTTTACAATCCAATTATTTTAGACACCTTTTCTCACAACGTTGTTAAGTACAAAACAATTTGTAGGAACTAGCTTATAAAACATAGCACTAGACATGATTTTTTAAAAAATGCAAAGACAACAAAGCAATGCAAAAACTGTTCTTTATGACGAACACTTGCGAAGAAGAGCAAATCGAAACTTAACGATGCTCTCCAGGTGCTGGACAGCCCAGAGATGCCCTGAAACAGCACTGCTGAGCACCCCAGGCCTGCGGGCAGCTTCTGCAGACAGAGGGAGCAGGCAGGTGTCCCTCTGTTCCAAGCCTGTTTCTTAACCTGAACTAACTTCTGCCTCTCTACTCTCAAATGGGAATGAGACTTTTAGAGCCCAGAAGAATCTCACATGGCATCTAACCAAGTAGGAGCCAGAGAGGTAACTTTCCACAGAAGCAGGCCCGAGCCCAGGTCTCCGGCTTGCTGTGAGGGTGCTCTGCTCACACCCCTCAATCTCTCACTCACCCAATGACTGGCAATAATTTCTGCACAATAGTTCATCAGCGTGCTGGCACTCAGCTCCTCCGCAGTCTGATAGAAGCGAATACAATTCCTGACGTTCACCAGAGACATAACACTCTTCTCACATCTGCAAGAGAATATTAATGATGAACAGCATCATTAGGACAAACAGATTCATAAATGAACAAATCAAAGCTATAATTGGTATACTGGCAGTCTATGTCCAATAACGCTAACGTACAAGATAAGCAGAGGAGTTAGGAATGATTTACAGCTGAGCTACCACATTTTAAAAGTACAAGAATTGCATTATACCACATTGACCATTCTGGTCAGAATCAAAATAACCTCTAAATAAACATGATAAGCATACCCCCCCCCCAACTGACTTATAAGTAATTCGATGAAACTCACTAATCATACACAGGCACCTGCAAAATGAAACACATGACAGGTCAAATTCACTCCTTTAATATTTAACTGTACAGGACATGGGTGCAGTTCCCACGAGCACAGCTCTATTATGCCACCAGTGAGGCTTCAAATTAGCTTCAAACAGGAGGCTCTATGTTTGCTCAATAAATTAACATCTCCGAAAAGTTCTCCCGAAGGTGAACTGTACGGTATGTGAATTATCACTCAATAAAGCTGACATTTAAAAGCCCACTAGAAAATGGAGACACAACTGAGTTTCACCCATTATACCCACAGTATACACCCAGTGAACCCACAGCACACCACAGTACACCCATAGATACCCAGGTACTGCCATCCTAACGTCCTACCGCAGGGACTACTGACTCATATTTGCAGAGGTCTTTGCAAACCACCTTGACAGACAAATCCCCTTCTCCTTTCTGCTGCCAAATGACATTCGTACCAAGATACTCAAATGTGTTTCCCGAAGGCAGACATTTTGTTTCAACCAGCAGAAAACTTCATTTTCACCTCACCCTGGGGTCCCCAAAATGCCATTCACTACTCGGAAAGCGTATAACTAGTAACCGACATGGCTTACGTAACATAAATTTACATTTACATAGAAGACCATGTCATCTTTTTTTTCTTTTTTTTAAGATTTTATTTATTTGACAGAGAGAGACACAGCGAGAGAGAGAACACAAGCAGGGGGAGCGGGAGAGGGAGAAGCAGGCTCCCCGCTGAGCAGGGAGCCCGATGCGGGGTTCGATCCCAGAACCCCGGGATCATGACCCGAGCCGAAGGCAGACACCCAACCGACCGAGCCACCCAGACGCCCCAAGACCATGTCACCTTATTTAAAAATTCAGATTCTTTTTTTTTTTTTAAGGTTTTATTTATTTATTCATGAGACACAGAGAGACACAGAGAGAAAGAGAGAGAGAGAGAGAGGCAGGCTATGCGGGACTCGATCCCAGGACCCCGGGATCATGACCTGAGCTGAAAGCTGACGCTTAACCGACTGAGCCACCCAGGCACCCTAAAAATTCAGATTCTTAGTTCTTATCTTCTCTTTCAACAGTAGCAGGATAGACTAACTTTCCTCTGAAGCAATTTTGTTGTTCATACATGTTTTTAATTTTAGAGCACTAAAAGGATATAGATGTACAAAAACAATTTTCAAAGTACAAAATCAAGCCTGTATTAAGCATCTCACAAACTTCTGTCTGGTTTCAGTATCACTCCCATGTGCATGAATAGGAGGTGTGGAAAAGGTACTGACAGGAGAGACAACAAAACGTTAACAGTGGCTGAATTACGGATAACTTAGGGCTTTTTCTCTATATTACTCTATATTTTCCAAATGCCACATGCTGAGCTTGTATTTTATAATCAGGAAAACAACTATTACAGCAACTATCAATTTTTAGTATTTACTATTAATTCTCTTAAAAAAAAAAAGTATCTTTCTGATAATACTTAGCAAAAAAAACCTCCTTTTCATCAAACTGGTGATAGCAATCCCAAACCTCCACGATCCCGACATTACAAACGTGAGTGACACCTACTTCATACTGACCTGCACACATTTGTGACAACCCTTCACTTACTATCTCAGATGTGTGATTCCACCTGCGCACGGCAGTGGGCACTCTGCGACCTTCTGAAAGCCGACATTTGACCTCCGCCCACCCTGTGTCTTCCAGTGCCACAGCAAGAGATAACTTAATGCCCACACCCAACGGTACAAAACTGAGCATCTGGTAATGTTGATGACTAAGAAGCCTAACCAGTCAATAAACAAACATTTTAATTAAAGAATCCATTACACAAATTACAATTACCTAAGCTACTCCAACCCCAAGGCATTTTTATCAAAGCAATTTAATTTACAGGCAAGTTTGACAAGGTCAATGGAAAAAAGCTCAGTAAATCTGGAAAAAGAAAAGATACAAATCATATTCAATCTAATTAAAATCATTTTCAATTCACTCAGATGGTTCAAACACCCAAACAGACCAAAGAGTTCACAGCAAGGCCTCCACGGTCAAGTTAGCTTTGCTAACTGAATACTGTATGTGCCTACCTTAGACCTGTTTGGGTTTTGTTGTTGTTGTTGTTATTGGATTTAGATATTAAAATGCACTCAAAGCTGACCTCAATCATAGAGCGTTAGGAGGAACCTGCGTAACTCATTCACGTGGGGCATGGCGGCCCGGTAAACACCAGCCCTGTGGTGGAAAGAGCAAGCTGCTCTAGGCTCTCTGAGGGCAACACAACAGGGGGAGTACCTCTTGATGGTAGAAACCATCCCTTCACTCACCCAGGAGAAAAGCCACTCCTGCAGCACCCAAGGGGATACAAAAGATCACTAAATGATGTAAAAGACATTCCTCCAACCAAACTGACCACCAAGGGCCACATCCCCGACAGAAACCAGAGGGCATTTTGCATGACATCATAGGTGTGACATTGTGTCTTCTGTTGCTCTGGAAGGCCGACTTGGGAGAGCAACAGAGAAAATGCAATATAAAAAAACACAGCAGGCTATCTCCTTGGGAACCTAAAAAGCAGTAACAAATGAAGTAAGAGCTCAGAAACACTGTCTATGAAACTTAATGAGCTGTACTCTTGTGTATTAATTCAGGCATTAATGAGTTTCTAACAAAAAGACTATGACCAAAGACTTCACCAAGTACATATATCACATCACAAAGTAGAATAAATGTCACAAGAAGTGGTACTGGAGGGAAAGCTGAGGGTTTGGACACTATAATCTGAATTAGTTCATACTCAGTTTAGCAGCTCACATAATTATGTAATCCCAGGTTTAAAAAAAAAAAATCAGTGAAAGAAAAGAGAATACCTAAAAGCTTTGGCAAAATTTAGCTTACAAAGTAACACAAAGCAAGGGAGATAAAATTCTCTCCCCACTACTGCCTTTAAAAGAACACCTTGCAAAAGTTATTTACATTAGCAGAAGAAGCTGTTTTCCCAGAGCTTGGCATAATTAAAGCTCAGCCACCACCATGTGAGGTGCTTGAATAGATGTGCTGTGACTTGCCTCTCCCTGAGGAGCTGTAGCTGAAACCGATTCGCCAGCTTCATCAGCTCAGTCAGGAACACGTCATCTTCTCTGAACTCCAGCTCATCCGTGTAGATCCAACGGAGCATCGTCCTTGTCACCTCAGGGTTAGCATCTGGTTAAGGAAAGAGAGACACTGAAAACAAAGCACCAATGACACACTTAAGTCTGCTTGAGGATCCCTAAAATTTTAGGCTAATAGAGTAAATTCTGGTACCTTCAACTCAAAGAAATATCATGCAGCCATCAAAAATGGCAATTAAGCATTCTGGGCAGCATCTAACTTCAGAAAAATGTTCAAGTTTTACAAAGGGTGGTAAGTAAGAGAAGTAAACTAAAGACGTAAGTCAAGCGGTGCCTGCGTAGCTCAGTCGGTTGAGCGTCCGATTCTTGATTTCAGCTCAGGTCACGATCTCAGGGTTGTGAGATCAAGCCCCACATTGGCATGGCGCCTGCTTAAGATTCTCTCTCTCCCTCGCCCCATCCCCTTCCCTACCCCCCTCTCTCTTAAAAAAAATAAAATAAAAAGATGTAAATCAAATAAATTGGGGGAAAATATTTTGAATATAGGACAAAGAGTTCATATTCCAATGAAAAGATCTTATAAATAAACATGAAAACATGGATAACCAATGGGAAAATGGGCAACAGCTAGGAATGGTAATTTACAAAGTTAACTAAAAATGTTCGGTAAACCTTACCAGTAACTACAAACACAAAACTAGAATATATTTTTTTGTCTCTCAAAGATTCCTAGAAAGTACATAACCTCTTACACACCAGTTATACATGCAGATTATTACCCTAATAACTGAGCAAATACAGAGAAATATGTAAACTAAGACAGTCAAGATAGTATTATTTTTAATAACAAAAAACTGGAACAAAAATCTTGAAGATTTTTTCAAAAAATTTTTCAAAATTTTCACACTGGAAAATTTTGCATCAATTAAAATTATTTAGAAAGGCTAAAAATACATGTATTAAATGATCTCATTTTTTTGAGATCTGTGTGTATATATATGTGTATGAGTATGTATACACACACATACACACACAAACACAAAGCTTTGTGTCTGTTTCCCATCCAAATAGTAACCAGATTCAACCCTGTTTAGCTTCTAAGATCAGACAAGATTGAGGACATTCAGGGTGGTATGGCCATAAACAGACTATCAGTCTTTTTGGTTTTTTTTTTAAGTAATCTCTACACTCAACATGGGGCTCAAACTGATTACTCCAAGGCCAAGAATGACATGCTCGACACGCTCCACCGAATGAGCCAGCCAGGTGCCCCTGTCTATCAGTTGAGACACTGGAAGGATATACACTAAAATATTAACCCTGGTAGGATCTACTAATTTTTCTTTGGGCTTATTTTTTATTTCTCTGATTTTTTTTTTTTTTTTTTTTTTTTAGAGGAGGAGGAGGGACAGAGGGAGAAGGAAAGAGAGAAAGTTAAGCAGGGTTCACACCCAGCGTGGAGCCCGACGTGGGGGCTTAATCCCAGGACTCCGGGATCATGACTTGAGCTGAAATTAAGAGCCAGATGCTTGACTGAATGAGCCACCCAGGCACCCTGATTCTGTTTTAAAATTTAGCTGGTTTCCTTTAATAACCCTCCCCCAATTATCCAAATCAATAAACTTGACAATTGATAAGTCAAAACCTAAATAATTTTTTTTTTTTTAAAGATTTATTTATTTGACAGAGAGAGAGACAGCGAGAGCAGGAACACAAGCAGGGGGAGTGGGAGAGGGAGAAGCAGCCTTCCCGCGGAGCAGGGAACCCGATGCGGGGCTCGATCCCAGGACCCTGGGATCATGACCTGAGCCGA